AGGAAAGTATTAGCCCAAGAGACAGAAAGGGCCACATAAAGCAGAGACTTCATCAGCCTGAGACCAGAAGAACTAGATGGTGCCCGGCTACCACCGATGACCGTCCTGACAGGAAACACAACAGAGAGTCCCTGATGGAGCAGGAGAAAGGTGGGGTGCAGAACTCAAATTCTAGTAAGAACGCCAGACTTAATGGTCTGACTGAGACTAGAGGAACCCCGGAAAGCATGGCCCCTGGATTCTCTCTCAGCCCAGACCTAAAACAATTTCGGAGGCCAGCTCTTCAGGCAGGGATTGGACTGGACTATGGGATACAATGTGATACTCGTGAGTAGTGTGCCTCTTAGCTCAAGTAGATACAGGAGACTAAACGGGCAGCTTCTGTCTGGAGATGAGATGGGAAGGTAGAGAGGGTAAGGAGCTGGTTGAATGGACATGGGGAATCGGGTGGAAAGGAGGAGTGTGCTGTCACAGTATGGGGAGAGCTATTAGAGTCACATAACAATGTATGTATGAATTTTTGTATGGGAAAAAATAAAAATAAAATTTAAAAGTAAAAAAAAGAAATAGAATCTTGTAAGCACCCTAGAAGCCCCCCTTGTTCCTTTCCCCAGTCACAACTCTTCTCCCTAACCACTGTTTTGACATTTGTGGAAATCATTCCGTTTATAATTTTGTATCCTAAATAATGTAATTTAGTTTTGCCTATTTTTAAACTCAATGTAAATGGAAGAATGCATTCAATATTATGTTTGTGAAATTCATCTATGGTGTGTTGTTGTTGTTAGGTGTCGTCGAGTCAGTTCCAACTCCTAGTGACCTTACATACAACAGAACAAAACAATGCCCGGTCATGCACCGTCTTCACAATCATTACCGTGTTTGAGCTCATTGTTGCAGCCACTATGTCAGTCCATCTCGTTGAGGGTCTTCCTCTTTATTTTATTTTTTATTGTGCTTTAAGTGAAAGTTTACTTAACTTTTGCTAAGTCAATTTAACTGGTTTCCAAAGTGGCCATAGCAAATTAGTTTTGCATTCAAAAATTTATACACAAGTTGTTTTGTGACATTGGTTGTAATCCCACATTGTGTCAGCACTCTCCTCCTTCCCCTTTCTGCCTTGGGTTTCCCAGTTCCATTCATCCAGTTTTCCTGTCCCTTCCCACCTTCTTGTCTTTGTTTTTTGGCAAGTGTTACCCATTTGATCTCCTATACTTGACTGATCTAAGAAGCACATTCCTCACGTGTGTTACTGTTTGTTTTATAGGCCTGCCTAGTCTTTGGTTGAAAAGTGAACTTCAGGACTGGCTTCAGTTCTGAGTTAGAAGGGTGCCTGGGGGCCATAGCCTCAGAGGTTCCTCCAGTCTCTGTCAAATCAGTAAGTCTGGTGTTTTTTGTGAATTTGATCTTTTGTTCTACATTTTTCTCCCACTCTGTCTGGGACCCTCTGTTGTAATCCCAGTCAGAGCTGTCAGTAATAGTAGCCGTGCACCATCTAGTTCCGATCTCAGGGTTGTGTAGGCTGTTTCATGTGGTCCATTAGTCCTCTGGACTAATTGCTCCCTCGAGTCTTAAGTTGTTTTTTTTTTTTTCCCCCGCTCTCTTTTGGTCTGGACTAGAAGAGACCAGTAGTTGTATCTTAGATGGCTGCTTTGTAAGCTTTTAAGACCCCAGCCACTACTCACCTCTTGGCATAGTTATCTATCTGTGTATCCATTTGTAGATTATTTGTTGATTCTATTGCTGCAGGATTGTCTATGCTGTAGTAGTTACCATCCAGAAAACCCCAAACCCACCGCTGTTGAGTTGATTCTGACTCATAGCAACTCCACAGGGTTTCCAAAGCTGTAAATCTCTACGGAAGCAGACTGCCACATCTTTCTCCTGCGGAGCTGCTGGTGGTTTTGAACCACCAACCTTTTGGTTAGCAGTCGATTGTTTTAACCACTGCGCCACCAGAACTCTTAGTAGTTAGCATAGTTGTCCTTCATTTTTACATTCCTTTCAGCATCCTCTCTTGCCTTGGACATGTGCTGACTTATCATTTTGTATTTCCTTTCCCTTCACCAATATTAACATGTGTCTTCTATCTAGTTAGTAATTTTCCCTCGCTCCCCCTCCCATCCCTGGAAACCGTCAAAGAATTTTTTTTTTCCTGTACGTATACCTTTTGTTGTTACTTTATAATAGCAGTCTTATACAATATTTACCTTTTTGCAATTGACTTATTTCACTCAGCATGGGGGTCTTCTTTTTCACTGACCCTCTACTTTACCAAACTGATGTCCTTCTCCAGGGACTGGTCCCTCCTTGTAACATGTCCAAAGTACGGGAGACGAAGTCTCGCCATCCTCGCTTCTAAGGAGTATCCAGACCATGCTTCCTCCAAGACAGATTTGTTCGTTTTTCTGGCAGTCTGTGGTACATTCAATATTCTTCGCCAACACCATAATTCAAAGGCATCAATTCTTCTTCCCTTTTCTTATTCATTGTCCAGCTTTCACATGCATATGAGGCAACTGAAAATACCATGGGTTGGGTCAGCCGCACCTTAGTCCTCAAAGTAACATCTTTGTTTTTAAACACTTACCTGTGATGTGGGGTAGCTTTAAGTTCATTCACTTTCTTTGTGTAATTGTCCATTCTGCTGTTGATGGATATTTGGATTGTTCTCTATTTTAGATATTTAAGTGTTGGCATTGAACATTCTTGTTACATACATCCTGCTATCTATGTGTAAGAGTGTCAGTAGGATAGACATTTAGAAATTGACATGTGGCATATTTAACTTTACTAGATAATGCCAAACTGTTTTCCAAAGTGGCCATAGCAATTTACTTTCCCATCAGTGAGAACTCTTATTGCTCTATGACTGGACAGACATGAAAAGTTTTGCCAGTCTTGGGAGTGCAAGATCGTATCTCATTTTAATTTGCATTTCCGTATTTACTAAAGAAGTTGAGCATGTTTTAATATGTTTATTGGTCATTTGGATTTAGAGTCTGTTCAATTCTCTACCTTTTTTTTTTTAGTGAGTCTTATGTTAGTGACCTTAATACTCTTCCTGCCTTTTACCTGAAGGAATGTGCTATAGAAAACTTCTTTTAGCTTGTGGGAAATAGCGTAGGTTCTTTCAACTTATTTTCTCTTCTTTTTCCCTCAATCTGTCTGGTGTTTGGGATGTTTCCCAGTATTTCACTGATCTCTCTTCACTTTCTTCTCCCTCCTTTTTCCTGTTTCCTAGACTCTGAAGCGGCTTATGGCAGATGAGGTAAGGAAATTTTGTTCAGCGTGTGCATGTTGTTCTAGCTCATTTCCTATGCTATGATATTTACCAATTGTCATAACCTTTCACTTTCTGTAGCTTGTAATGGTGATATGTGTTCTATTCCCAGAGCATCCCAAGGCTTTTCCTAATCCCTGTTCTGCATTCGGCCCATTGCATGCATTTCCCTGACACACTCATCAGCTTCTAAGATTAGGCATGCTCATTAAACTGCAAGCTAACTTTGGTCTGGGTGCCACTACTATTACATGAAGCCCTACAATGGTTGCAGATATTTACTGTTATTTTCAAACACGTGGAGCTGGTGAGCTGCGGCTTACTGTGGCTGTTTTGAATAAGAGCAGCTGTACTTGTGGTTTGAGGGATGGTTCATGAGCATTTGTTTGGCAGAGAGATGGTATATATACCCCTAAAGTACATTATATTCTTAGCTGACTAGATGTCTTGAAAAGGGGATTTGTTCTCATTTGAAGAGTATGTATTGAACCTTTGCTGCCTCCATGGAATATACAAAAGAAGAAGAAGTAATGGTTCCTGATTTAAGGCATTTACTTGTTTACCTTATATGACTTAGATCAATGAAAATCTATAGTCATATTCACCTCTTGAAGGGAGGGATACTCTGGGGGCCTGACCACATTTATTATTGGTAGCTAGGGGGAAACAGAGGGCATCTTATTGAGGTATTTCTACACATGAGATGCTTTGAACTCTGTTGCTATAGATGGTTTAGGAATGGCAAGGGAGTTCAAAGGCAAAGTTTCCTCCTTTTAGAGAGCTTTCAAATCTCAATACTGTAGTTCTCTTATCTTTGGATGAAGATGAGAGTAAAGAGTCAGTATACTAAATTAGATTTGAGGAAGACTGATTTTGCCTTTTCCTGTTAAAGAGTCTTGAACTGCCCATGAACCAGGGGAACCATGCATGTGTATGAGCTTAGAGGATTGGCTGTTTGATGTATTTTTTTTTTTTTTTTTTTTGTGTGTGTGTGTGTATGTGTAAATGAAAATGGATCACTGCTAAATATATATATATAAATATATATATATATATATTTTTTTTTTTCTTTCTCAGCTGGAGAGATTTACCAGCATGAGAATTAAGAAAGAAAAAGAAAAGCCCAATTCTGCTCATAGAAATTCTTCTGCATCATATGGGGATGATCCCACAGCACAGTCATTGCAAGATGTTTCAGATGAGCAAGTGCTAGTTCTCTTTGAACAGATGCTGGTGAGTTTCCCCACCCCAAAACACTGCTTCTTCCTAGAAAAGCATTTATGGGGATGTTGAGCCCTTTTTTGTGCACGTTCCCCCTTAACTAGCCTTTCATTACAAAGAATTCTAGGCTTCACAGGGAGCTTCTTAATAATAATCCTCTTCACGAAGGGACTAAATATACACGTACCTGTTCATGAAATTGGAACCTGTGTATTAAACTGGAAACATCTGATCACCAACCACCCTGTTAATGTTCTGCCCGGCAACACTTCAGCCACAGAGACGCAGGGAGAGTGGACCAACTCATACGCTACATGAGGTCATCTCTGGGATAAGCCAGAACAGACAAAAATGTTGAAGCATTTCACAGTGAGCTCTATACAAAGAAGAAATTGAGGAATGGAAAGACATCACTTGCCCAAGGTCCACTATGTAGCAATGAATCTGGAAAGAGAATTCTGATGCTATATTCACTACAAGACATTTAAAGATTGTGGCTGAAGGCAGTTGAGTAATGAAGTGTACTCAAATGTGACTTACTTTGCTATCCTCGTGAAGAAGAGAACATAGTAGTGATAAGTCTTGGGAAGTTTTAAGTATGTGCTTATAAGATTTCATAAGACCAGTATATTGTATGAATATATGGTCACAGACTCAAATAGAGATTAGTAGCATGCCTAACTTAATTAAAAGCATGGGCTTTAGAGGTAGTAGACCTGGGTTCAAATCCTCTCAGCCTGGCCACCTAGCTCTGTAATCTTAGGCAACCCTTTCATGTAAACTAGGAATGACACAGCCTACCTTATAAGGTAATATGTATATAAAACCCATAACAAAGGGCCTGGCATGTAATAAACACTCAACTGCTACTACTGTTATTCTTCACTGAAGCATTCCGTTTGTCTGTTAACATTCCAGGTGTATTAACAGCCTAAGAGTATGCTCTGTCAAGACAATCTCTTGACTTTGGATTGCAAATTTAGATGTCTTTTTGACCAGCCAGGTAGGATAAGTAAGTTAAACAGGCTAGATAGATAGAAAATGATAGAAAAGTAGAGGAGACTGATAAATTGAAGAAGGCCTTTTGGCATTTTTGTTACAATGGGCAGCCACAACTTCATTTCACTAGACAACTTAGTTCCAGTAGGTTGTAGCATTCCAGTAGGGAATGCTAGCTCAGTAGTACCAGATATTTCTGTTTTTCAAAAGAAGCCAGAAATTTGTATTTTTATGTGAAGTCTCCCAAATTTAAAATGTTCCCCTAGCCAAGCTAAACATACTTTATCTTTAGGTCAGGTGACTGAGGACCACCACTTTGCAACTTCTCTGTTTAAATTATCTGCAAAAGAAAAAAAAAAAAACACGTTGGGAATTGACTCAGAAAAACTTCAAATTATTATTGTTACTTCAAGGCAATGATTCCTTCAAGCCCCTCCCGCAAGAAGAAATAGAATATATCCATAGTTTTTTTTCCCATACTTTTCTGATTTCAAATAATATTCTAGGCTTGTTAGGGTTAAACTTGTACTTACTGAGGTACTGGGCTCAGACACATGGTTGTATTTACCATAGGCTCAAGCAGAGCCTTTCCCCCAGCAAAACACTCCCAAGTTATATCTGTGGAGGGGCCTTTGCGTTATCACAGAGTTTCCAATTCTTTCTTCATCGGAACGGAGTTTGTATAGGACTGAGTTAACCACGGGTAATGGGTGTCTAGGCCCTGGACTTCATGCAGATGTTGCTGCTGTTTGGATGGTGCCAGTCATCCAGTGCTTCAGTCTGGAGAGGGAAGTTGTTAAGGTCTATCCTCAGTCCAAAAAAATTTGTGTGCTTTTCTTTCAACAATACAAAACAAATTTTTCATCTATATTAAGAGTCTATTTTTGTTAGAAAAAGGTTAGAGTATATATGTATAAAAATGTCTAAAGGGATTTATGCTAAAATGTTAACCACATTGATCCCTAAGGAATTTTTATCATCTGTAATAGCTTAAATTTCTAGGAATCAGGAAAATTTATTTATTCAATAAGCATTTAATGTACTTACCTCTTCACTAAGGACACTAAATATTACAGTAAAAACTTGTAAGGCATTTGAGGCATTTTTTTCTCTCTCTTTTTTTCTTCATCTACTAGCTGGATATGAACCTGAATGAGGAGAAACAGCAACCTTTGAGGGAGAAGGACATTATCATCAAGAGGGAGATGGTGTCCCAATACTTGCACACCTCCAAGGCTGTGAGTCCTGGGGCAGGTACCCACGACATGGGAGACTGTGCCCTTGGATTAGACCCTTGGACCTGTTTGTTTTGTGAATTTTATACAACATTTTATGTCTATATCCATTCTATTTCATTCTACTGTATAAGCCTATTCATTTTTTCTCTCTTATTTGAGTTACCATTTTTATGTACTTTTTGCCTGATACATCTTCATGAAGTATGTATGGGGAATGAGATTGGGAATTCTCAGTCTCATATAGTTTGGTGGTATGTATAATGGATGTCTGCTCTAATATTATTTAAACTGTAGTGGCTAACATTAGTCCCTAATTTATGACTAGGTCTAATGTTTACTAATCTCTTTATATGCCTCCTGTCTAGGGCATGAGCCAAAAGGAGAGCTCCAGGTCTGCCATGATGTACATTCAGGAGTTGAGGTCAGGCTTGCGAGATATGCCTCTACTCAGCTGCCTGGAATCCCTTCGTGTCTCTCTCAACAACAACCCTGTCAGGTGAGGATTCTGAGGAACTAACAGGAGTAGGAGCCCAATATTGGAGTTCACTGGTGAGGATTGAAGATCAAAGGAGTCAGGGAAGTATAGGAATGGTCTGGATTCAGAGTAAAGAGTTGCCAGGGTAAACTTTTTTTGGTGAATAGGTATTTATTGATTTGATTTGATATTGCATTGACTTTGTGTGTTCTTTACAGTTGGGTGCAAACATTTGGTGCTGAGGGCCTGGCCTCCTTATTGGACATCCTTAAACGACTTCATGACGAGAAAGAAGAGACTGCTGGGTGAGAACTTCCAAGACTTGACATCTTCTAGGTGGAGGGTAGTAAGAGATTTACTATTTTCTCTGAAGTAGAAAATAGCAGTTAAATTTAAAGTTATGGACTAGGTGAATATGTTGTTAGATAAGAATGGGGTTTTTCATAAGGGTGATTAGAGGATGATTGATGATTAGAGATACAAGAAAAAGAGGAGGAGCCTTAAGTTTCAAGGTGAATACCATGAGATATATACCGCATAAGATTAGTAGTCTCTAGACTTTCGCTGAAAACACAGTAAAATAGTATTAAAAAAAAATTAGCCATTGGTTGATCTTTTCTTCTCCCTCCTCTTCTTTTTATAAGCCTCATTGTAACTGGTTTACTTCATGCCATTTGCTTTTTTCTGGAATCAGAATGGTCTCCCTATATGCATATAGAATAACTACTCAGAATACACCTTATGTTTCAGTTTTTGAAATTTAAAAAAAAAAAGATTACTGGTCTCCCAGCACCGGTTCTTATCCAGTCTGGAAACAGGATCTGATTTAGTCCAGAGCTGCCCTGTGATCTGGTCTGGGTCATATCTCATGGTCTGGGTCATATCTCATTTGGAGGTGTTGTAATACACTTCATCTATTTCTTGATCTCGATCTAGCTTTACAGCAGTCTTTAGGGCTGGAATAATTCTGAGGATACCTTGGACGGTCTTAGGCTGCCTTGAAGCCAGCCTGAACCAAAGTGACTGCTCTACCTGGGTATCTTTCTGAAACATTTTAGGGCCTGGATCTTCTGCATGTACCCTTTGAGACTTGACGCCTTTGATGTAGTGAGGCAAGCAATAATAGATGGGATGTTATCCTGATAGAATTTAGCACTTTGGAGCCTACAGAGAGTTAAAGGAAGGTTTTAATGTAATGTTAAATCCTCGGATTGAGAGAGAATTAGCCAAAGGCCTTTGATGATGGGGATACCTCTTCATTTACATGCTTGTTGCCAGTGTTTCAGAGCAAAGGGTTGTGTGCCAGAATTTACTCAGCTACTAGTTGGGGTGTTCCTATGATCCTTGTTTGCAAGATTGAAAAGTCAAATGGGAAAGGGGTGTGGAATTAGAGAACTTGACTGATTGTGTCTTCTACCTGCAGAAGCTATGATAGCCGAAGCTATGATAGCCGTAACAAGCACGAGATCATTCGCTGCTTGAAAGCTTTTATGAACAACAAGGTGAGCTTTTTACCATTCTCATTTCAATCTCATCTTGACTCCCGTTCTTTCTCTTCTGCTGGCAAACCCACAAAAGGAACTAGGAACATGAGGTTCAAGACTTCTAGCTTTCTCTTCTAGTATAATAACTGTTTTTAATTGCCACATATGCATGCTTCTTTGGGCCTTTTTTTTTTTCCAGTTCTAACTTACGCTTCAGAGAGTAGGCTCAGTTTTCTTTCTCTTTCCATATTTTCTCTTACTAAATCTTAAATATCCTGATCTGTAGTTATTGTTTTTGGAAGGATTGCTTTATTCCCTGCTTGGGGTTTTTTTTTTTCCTTGTAGACTGATTATACTTCAGGATCTTTTCATCTTCTTTTTTGTCTGTTTAGTATTTAAAAGATTTTCCTCAAGGAGCCCATAATTATTTGCCCCTGAGTACAAATCTTTATCTTTCACTGTTTATTATTCCATTGGATTTTCTTTTTTTTTTTTTTGACATTAAGAAGAAACATTCGTGGAAGACATAGAATTATATTGTGCCTACTAGAAAATTATTTTGCCATGCTCATTTCTCTTTAGTTATATTAGGGAAAGTGTTCTACCCCTGAATTTGTCCTTGGTTAGATGCTGTCATCTTTATGCCTCCCTTCTCTATTCTTGTCCTACCAGTTCGGAATCAAGACGATGTTGGAGACAGAAGAGGGAATCCTGCTGCTGGTCAGAGCCATGGATCCTGCGCTCCCCAACATGATGATTGATGCAGCTAAGCTGCTGTCTGCTCTTTGTATCCTACCACAGCCAGAGGACATGTATGTGATTGGAATTATTGATCTCTTCTCTGTTTTCTTTACCATCTTCTCTAGTCTAGAGGAAAATTGAGTTGCTTGGGTATCCTCTTGGTCTGAAGTACTAGGTAATACAGTATTTCTTCCCAGAAGTGAATGCTGTGAATTTCAACATTTAAGAAAGATTCCTAAGTGATGGGGGCTGTCCTGAGTATACCACTGGTTATCAGAGGTATAGCATGGTATCACCCTGATCTCCATTAATGTCCGTACTGACTACTTTTTACTGTTTTTTTCTTAATTCAGAAGTAATACAATGGTATTTTTTAAAATTCAAACAATATAAAACCAAACTGGTTGCTGTCGAGTCGATTCCGACTCATAGTGACCCTGTAGGACAGGGTAGAACTACCCTATAGGGGGTTTCCAAGAAGTGGCTGGTGGATTCAAATTGCTAACCTTTTTTGGTTAGCAGCCAAGCTGTTAACCAGTGTGCCACCAGGATTTCCATCAAACACTATAGAAGTATATAAAGTAAAATTTAACAGCCTCATCCCTTTGCCAAATCCTACTCTGCAGAGGTTATTGGCTTGGTATAGTCTCATAGATCTTTTTCTAAGCATAGACAAACATATTGCATTTCCTTGATTCTAAGACATCTTCCGCCACCCCAAAAGATGGTATTTTAGAACTGAGGAAAGTGGCTTTTACCTATAAAACCAATCACATGTATATATTTTTATTTTTGTGGAGGGGTTTGGTTTAATAAAAACTGAATCATACCGCACATTCTTTTTGACTTGTTTCTTTTTGCTTAACAGTAGATCTTGAATATCCTTCTGTGTCAGTACTTATAGATCTACCTTATTATCTTTAATAGTTGTTCAGCATTCTATAGTATGTATGTACCATAATTTATTTAACAATTCCCCAATTGCCAGAATTCTAGGTAGACATTTTTTTTCCCAGCAGATTCCGGCTCCTTCTCTAGATGATAAGAATTTCTCACTATTACAAATAACGTTATAATGAACATCCTTGTACATGTATTATTTCACATCTATGCATTTATGTTGGATAGGTTTCTAGAAGTAAACCAAATGTTACTTGCATTAAAAATTGATTAGTACTGTTAAATGCCCTTCCAAAAGTTATACCAATTTATACTTCATAGAACAGGGCTCTTAGTTTGGTATCCCTGGATAGGAGCCTGGGGATGGGCTTTTGGGAGTGCATTTTTCTGAAGAGATGGTCCTTAGCTTTCAGCAGATTCTGTCCCCTGCTGTAGGTGATGAGAGGAATAATGTGAGAAATTTGGAGCATTGATAACTTTCTGTTTCCTAAGTAGTCTGTACCCCTGTGTAATCGTTCTGTTACACATGTCTGTCTGTGCACCTGGGCAGTTCTCTCCTTTCCTTTTCTCTTGGGCAGGAATGAAAGGGTTTTGGAGGCGATGACAGAAAGAGCTGAGATGGATGAAGTGGAACGTTTCCAGCCGCTGCTGGATGGATTAAAAAGTGGGACCTCCATTGCACTCAAGGCATGTATATCCCCTGAAACTGGGCTCCAGAATAGAATTCAAGATGGAAAGACTTAAATTCATTTGACCTTTTAGTAGAACACATGGAGTGGTTCCCAGCTATAAATTTATTTTTTGTTTATTATTGTAGTTTAAGTGAAAGTTTACATTTCAAGTTAGACTCTTATACAAAAATGTATACATACGTTGTTATGTGACCCTAATTGTTCTCCCTGTACTATGACAGCACACTCCTTCTTTCCACCCCTCATCTTCCACGTCCATTCAACCAGCTCGTAACCCTTTCTGCCTTCTCATCTCACCTCCGGACAGAAGCTGCCCATTTAGTCTCATGTATCTACTTGAGCTAAGAAGCACACTCTTCACAAGTATCACTTTCTGTCCCACAGTCCAGTTCAATCTTTGTCTGAAGAGTTGGCCACGGAAATTGTTTTAGTTCTGGGCTGATAGAGAATCTGGAAGCCGTGCTTTCCAGGGTTCCTGCAGTCTCAGTCAGACCATTAAGTCTGGTCTTTTTACTAGAATTTGAGTTCTGCACCCCACCTTTCGCCTTCTCCATCAGGGCCAACTATATATTTTATATCTCAAAATTTGTTCTGAAGGGAAAATGATTAACCTTCTCTCCAGGAAGTCAGAGAAAACTGTTTTTCTCATTATAAGGTGGAAAAAGGCATGGTGTCTGCTTACAAGCTAGGAAAATCAAGTATACTGTCAAATCCTTGGAATCATTCATACCTCTAAGCTCTCTAGACCTATGCTGAAGCCACGCGTCATTACTCCAGTAGAAAGTCATTCGTGTAGTTTTTGTACTTCATCTTCTACATATATTTGGAGGCCTCAGAATGCATGTGAAGGGAATCTTGATCTCTAGGAGTTAGCATTGACTTAGTTGTTGAATTTTCTTGTCTTAGGTGGGATGCCTACAGCTGATCAATGCCCTCATCACACCAGCTGAAGAACTTGATTTCCGAGTTCACATCCGAAGTGAACTGATGCACTTGGGACTGCATCAGGTGTTGCAGGTGAGATGCAACACTTCATCTTTAGAAAGGCTGGGTTGGTTCCTTCCTGCTCTTACAGCCCCAGACATCTCTGGGGTAACTTGGGTTTTTAATTTAAAAACTAGGTTGAAAGTTTTGGGCTTCTAGCCATATAGGACACTTTTGGGTCCCCTGACTCTTCTATTTTTTGTCGTTGACAGGACCTTCGAGAGATTGACAATGATGATATGAGAGTGCAGTTAAATGTGTTTGATGAACAAGGGGAAGAAGATTCCTATGATCTGAAGGGACGGCTAGATGACATTCGCATGGAGATGGAATATCCTTTTACTGACTGGGTTCAAGACAGATGAGACATTTGTTGTATTCAGTTGCAGATCCCTGTATGGAATGATGAGTGTCTGGGGGGCGGAAATGATGACTCTGAACAGGGCATCAGGCTATGTGTCTTTTCAGTAGGTGAGGCAGGTGCCTTTTTATTGCCGTTGGTCTTATTTACCTTGGCACGGGTCAGAGAAATCAGTAAAGATAATCTGGGGGTTGCTCAACATGGAAACAGTCATCAGAGTTAGAATAGACTTCCTAGAACATGATAACTTAGATTATTAAGATGTAGAACTGGTTTTTGGAGAGCATATACAAGTCAGGGAGTAGAGTTATAATTTGTTTTCTTGTATGTGTCCCTGAAACTGAAAGAGGACATAATTTGGTCACCTGTTGGGATTTGCCACAAGTGACTTTGAAGGAGTTATCTTTGGTTTCTATACTGCTTGATCTTCAAGCCAAGTACAAGGGATTCTCTATCTCTTTACCACCGAACTTACTGGTCCCTTAGCCAAAGGAAGTTTCTAGAGCTTAAAATTTCTAGTGATGTTTATAGAAGGAACAGCTATTAGAGTGAAAGTTGTATCTTGCTACTTTTCTCTAGCTTCTCCAAGAGTTGGATAAGCCACGTGTAAAAAATAGTTTCTAAACATATGCCTTCCTTAGCCCCTTTCTCTTTTTCACTGACTTCAGTGAAGTATTCCAGATCCTCTTAAACACAGTGAAGGATTCAAAGGCAGAGACACACTTTCTGTCCATCCTGCAACACCTCCTCTTGATCCGAAATGACTATGAGGCCAGGTAAGATGGAATGCCTGGAAAGTTTTTAATTTGAGCCTAAATGGAGAGAGCAAAATTCTTAAATTTAAAGATTGCTCTGTACAGGGGAAAAGAAAAGACAAAGACCAAAAATTAGGTTTCATTATAGTTACAGGTATAAAGGGAGTAGTAAGGTGTTCCTTTAATCCAACTGAAAGGCATCCCTGTGGAAAAGGTCAGAGAGTATATAAGGTGACATGGAGATACCCTTCCTTTTTGAAGATGATGGCAAAGAGAGGTGGCAATTTAAAATTCCTTCTGGTTACCTGGAAGTAAGGATTCAGCTATAATACTATCAATTACAGGAAGGATTAAACTCAAGTTTTTGGATAGGAAAGGATTGGCACTAGGAGGCAGATGGCAGGAATTTTTGATTATTTTAAATAGATAATGTAGCTGATATGGAAGAGGGGGGATTTCTTAACATGACAGTGATACTTCTGTTAAATTTACAAAAAGGTCTTTTCCAGAACATTACCCTCATATCTCTCTATTGTTGTCAAAGCAGTTAATTTTTCTTGACCCTGAATAGTTCTTAAAATTATATTTTGGTTTTCCTTTGATAACCCTGTTTTTTTTTTTTCTTCTGTAGACCACAGTACTATAAGTTAATTGAAGAATGTATTTCCCAGATAGTTCTGCACAAGAACGGGGCTGATCCTGACTTCAAGTGCCGGCATCTCCAGATTGATATTGAGGGGTTGATTGGTAAGCATGCTCTTTTATTTGACTCCTCAAAAAAATTGCTTCTGTCTTTCATTTTCCACCTTTCTTTTGGTGAAAATTTCAGAGAGTATGTTTTTAGTCCCCAAGTATTTTCACTTTTGCCCTTTATTAGGTCATAATCAGTGTCTATGCTAGGAATATATAGACCTTTAGTTTATTTATACATAAATCCCACATTTTGCAGGAACTTGAGCTATTATCTGTGACTCCTGCTGGTCCCAGAGAGTCATAAGTATTACATGTAGGCATTCTTCATGCCAGCCAGTATGGTGACCTTACTAGTTATGAATACTCAGAAATTATATGTTGAATTTAACTGAAAGTTCCACTTCTGTGTCTAGTGCAGAACATTAAGAAGGATAATAAAAATAGCCAGAAGGACAAAAGACTGAACTTTGGTTATACTGAAGGGCTTAGGTAGTAAAAGGGGAAGACAGATGTCTTAGTTATCTAGTGCTGCTATAACAGAAATACCACAAGTGGGTGGCTTTAACAAATAAATGTATTTTCTCACAGGTTAGGAGGCTAGAAGTCTGAATTCAGGGTGCTGGCACTAGGGGAGGGCTTTCTCTCTCTTTTGGCTCCGGCGGAAGGTCCTTGTCTCTTTGAGCTTCTGCTCCTGGGCATTCTTCATGTGGCTTGGTATCTCTCTTCCCTCATCTCTGCTTCTAGCTGACTTGTTTAATCTCTTTTATATCTCAAAAGAGATTGATTTAAGATGAGCCCTATGCTAATCCTGTCTCACTAACATAACAAAGATAACCCATTCTCAAATGGGATTATAACCACAGGCATAGAAGTTAGGATTTACAGCACATATTTTTGGGGGACACAATTCAATCCATAACACCAGAGTTGGGAGATTTACTTACTAACTCTTCTTTTCAGATCAAATGATTGATAAAACAAAGGTGGAGAAATCTGAAGCCAAAGCTATAGAGCTGGAAAAAAAGGTGTGTATGAGGCATCAAAAAAGTTTATTTGGGGTATGTTTGTCTCTCTTTGAGGGTTATGGTCTTTCCGACATGTGAGACAGTTATAATCTCTGGTATATGGAAAGCATTCAGCACACAACAGTCATTCCTAGGAGAAAGCCTTTCCAGTATAGTTTACTTAGTGGAGAAGGTGATGTGGCTCTGAACATGAGGAGCTGGTGGTGGGCTTGCACAGTTCTTGGACCCCTGTTAGGAAAGGAAAGACAGATAGTACTCTTATGTAATAGTGATGGCTTTCTCAGGTTTACTTGGCACCTCGGGCCTCCTAGCTTTAGAGCAATAGGAACTGGAATATGTCTGCATTTTGTGTTCTCTTTTTCTCTTCACTTGTTAAGGACAATTATTGTGGTTGATAGGTTCTTGATCCTGAAGACTATTGGAACTGTACCACCATAGCTGTCCTGGTTAAACGTCTTTAAAACCTTAAGTCTTTTTGTATAACTCCAAAAGTAGTGAGAGCATGGAAGTTGTCGCCCTCTCCTTTCACCATGATTTTAAAGTCAAAATCATGGTGCTCTTTTTTCCCAGGGATTGCCTGAGATATTGGTCAGTGAGCTCTATAGATCAAGTATTAGCATAAAACAGTAAATTATGGAGACTAAGACTTGTCCTTTTTCCTGAGGTGAGGAGCTTGTTGGGAACCTGATTCCTTTCTCCTTTAGCTGGACTCAGAGTTAACAGCCCGACATGAGCTACAAGTGGAAATGAAAAAGATGGAAAGTGACTTTGAGCAGAAGCTCCAGGACCTTCGAGGAGAGAAGGAAGCATTGGATGCCGAAAAGCAACACATTGCCACAGAAAAACAGGACCTGGAAGCAGAGGTGTCTCAGCTCACAGGAGAGGTAAAGTCTGAACAGAGAAGGGTGAGTGATCATTAAGTGCCGTCAGCAGCCTCAGGATGAGCACATCTTGGAACCAGGAGTCAGTCATCTCACTCTTAGGAAGCGTTCAGCTACTAATAGATAATCTAGTTAGATATTGCATATTTTTCAAATATTTTACTGTTTATTTTGTTTTATTTTAAGGGTAGTACATATAATATAAAATTTAGACAAGACAGAAAAACAACAAATTAGTCACTCACAGTACTACCCAGAAGTAAAGGTAATAGTCTTCTAATAAATTTAGGAGTAAAGACTAAATAAACCATTCACAAATCGACCAGAGCTTTTAGTCATCTCTGGACAGATTTATCCCCACACAAACTCTCTGTAGTTATACATATTTAAATGGTCTGTGATATCTGAGGAGCCCTGGTGGTACAGCTGCTAAGCAAAAGGTTGGCAGTTCGAGTCTACCAGCTGCTCCAGGAATGGGTTTGGTTTGGTTTTTTTTTTGACCACTTATGTGGTTATATAATTACCTATATAGCACGTATGTTAATTGTATAACTAAAACATTTGATTTACTTGACCTTTACATTTTCTAACCAAAGAAGAGTTTGATGTTAAGGTTGAAGTTGTCTTTTTAATGCAAAGTAGGATGAACTAAACACCAGAACCAAAAAGCCAAACCCGTTGCCGTCAAGTCGATTCCAACTCATAGCGACCCTGTAGACACGTGGGGACCTAAATTCTAGTTTTAGCTGCCACTAAATAGCACTGTGGCAGGTGAATCATCTGATATTTCTGACTCCTCTTAGTCCTTTCATGTGTAAAATGAGAGGTTTGGATTAAGTAATTTCTTGGGTCCCTTTGAGCCCCAGTAGTCCCTGAAATGAAGTGAGTTGTGCTCACATTGATGTTTCCTTCTGTAGGTTGCTAAGCTGTCAAAGGAACTGGAAGATGCCAAAAAAGAAATGGCTTCTCTCTCTGCTGCAGCTGTTGCTATAGTTCCTCCTGTACCCAGCAGTACTAATGCTCCCCCTGCCCCTCCTTTACCTGCTGACTCTGGCACTGTTATTCCATCCTTACCCACTCATTTACCAGAAGAGGTTAGCAAACCACCACCTCCACCTTCTCTTCCTGAAGGTTATACCATTCCTCCTCCACCACCTCCCCCTCCTTTGCCTGGAAGTGTTTGTATCCCCCCACCCCCTCCTTTGCCTGAGAGTGCTAGCATCCCCCTACCCCCTTCTTTACCTGGAAGTACTGCCATTCCCCCACCCCCTCCTTTACCTGGAGATACTGGCATCCCCCCACCCCCTCCTTTGCCTGGGGTTGCGGGCATCCCTCCACCCCCTCCTTTGCCTGGGGTTGTGGGCATCCCTCCACCCCCTCCTTTGCCTGGGGTTGTGGGCATCCCTCCACCCCCTCCTTTGCCTGGAAGTACTTGTATACTCCCACCTCCCCCCCTGCCTGGGGATACTGGCATCCCCCCACCTCCTCCCTTGCCTGGAGGACCAGGAATGCCCCCTCTCCCTCCCCCTCTTCCTGGTGGTCCTGGAATCCCTCCACCCCCTCCTTTTCCTGGAGGCCCTGGTATTCCCCCACCTCCACCTGGAATGGGTATGCCTCCACCTCCGCCCTTTGGATTTGGAGTTCCTGCAGCCCCAGTTCTGCCATTTGGATTAGCCCCAAAGAAGCTTTATAAGCCAGAAGTGCAGCTCCGAAGGCCAAACTGGTCCAAGGTGAGAATTTCTGTCCGTTTCTTCATCAGTAAATCTCAAAAAACCGCTTTAGTTTCCTGCTTTTCATTTTGTACGTGGGTGGTCTTCCCCTTTCTTGTGGCTCACATCTGTCTGTCTTTAGATTCCGTTCATGTATATGTTTATTCAGCAGATATTTATTGAGCATCTCCTATGTGCTAGATATCACCATCGAGAGTTCTGTAAAACCTGTACTCTGCTAAAAATCCTAAAATTATCATTAAGTTAATGTTTTTGCCTTTCCTGTGAGGATGAGTACCATAGTAACAGGTTTGATGATTACAGTCATTTTACCAATCTGTAAACTACTGGTAATTGCCAGTCCTGAAATCATGGATTTATGAATTAACCTCCCACTCCAGTGAGTTACTCAGGGCATGTTTCCACGGCATGGTATTATTCCCACTATGCGTTTGAGACCCCTTTGATTCTGAGTCAACCTTTTGCTTCCAGAAGCCAAGTGAAAATAAAGAGGTTTGGGGATTTGTCCATAAAATCAACAAATTTGGCACAGTTAGCCAAAATAAAGAGAAAAATGTAATGTAGAAGCAAGGGAAGATGTGAAATGAGGCCTTAATGCTTCTGAAACTAGAAGATGTAGAGTTAGGAGGAGGATCAGTAGCATTAACTGAAGCTAGTTCTTGTATAATCACCAATAAACAAACTGGAAACATTATTTCTTGATCCCCCCATAAAGAGCACAGCTATTCTCTGTATCTCAGGTTTGTCTTGCTATAGTATGACATTGCTAATCACTAGCCAGCCACCTCTTTTGCTGCTTAATCAGCTTTCAGGGCTGGAAAGTACAGACTTCAGCTTAGTAACTCTTAACACCTTGCCTGTCCCCACAGTTTGTTGCTGAGGACCTCTCCCAGGAATGCTTCTGGACAAAGGTGAAGGAGGACCGCTTTGAGAACAATGAACTTTTCGCCAAACTTACCCTTACCTTCTCTGCCCAGACCAAGAGTGAGCACTTTCCTCTTTTGTGCAAGGGTCCAGTTTAGGGCTTGGAGTATCCTTTATTCTAAGTGGGTTTCCCATCCCTGTCCCTTCTCTAGGTGAAGGTGGAAAGGGAATGTTGAGTAAAAGAGAGATGGATTTTTCCATTAGGAAGAAAATAAGATGTTTTTGTATTCTGGGATACTAGGGTTGGGAAGGAGAACTGTTGAATCTAGGTATTTTATATCAGTGTAACTTGTGAGGATATGAGATTAAGGTGACAGAAGCTCAGGCTAGGCGCATTTTGATGATACTGTTGACTGGATTCTGGCAGCACCTTCAGGTGCCCATCTCCAGACTTGGGTGCTTAATGAGGGTTGAACAGAGTCTTAGCAGGTCAGGTGGCTGAGTGACTGACTACAGAGAACCATGTGTGATTCTTTTTCTTTCTTCCATTTCTCTCCAATGTCTGATGCTTTCTCCTTTCTGGCTGACCCTTGGCTCCTACAGCTTCCAAAGGTAAGAGTACAGAAGTTTCCTGAATATTAAACAAAGGGATGAAGCACATGTAAAGGAATTTCTCTTCAGCAAACTGAGACCAGAGATTGGGGATTGATTTCTCTTTTGCTACCTTTTTTTTAAACTTTCTGAAGTCCAGAACAGTCATTGTGGTGTTAACTAATTGAAAGGGAAGTTATTGAATCTACCATATACTTGTTCTTTCTTTAGATGATGAGGGACAACTTAAGTAATAATGTTACATTTGTGTTGTATTTTATAGTTTTCAAAGTGCTTTAACATATGCCACCCTATTTGACCTGCAAAGCTGCCTCATGAGACAGGCAGGATGTGTACTGTCTCCATTCTGTAGTATATATAGACTCTGAGCAGTTAGGTAGCTTGCCCAAGGTCATATGACCAGATTCAGGTATCTTGACTTCTGGTCCATGTTTTTTTATATAAATTCTTGCTTTTTGTATTCACCTTCATACATTTTCCTTTATTTTAGAAGACTGGTCTGTTTTGTCCTCTTCTTTCTTCACTTCCTAATTCTTGTGGTTTTGTGCTACCTTGTGATGGGGTACTTGTAATTACTTCCCCTAAGGGGTACAGCATTTGAAAGATCTTGTCATGTACCTAGTGATAATTATAACCAAATAATTTCATATTTCCATCTTTTTCTGGCATATTTGTTTTCTTCGGAGGTTTATTATCACCCTAGTAATGAAAAGTAGGTGCAACTTTGGAGCATTCCTTTCCACCACCACCACCCCCTCCCAGTAAATGAGTGTTTTTAAAGATAATAATAATTTTTTTTTTCTTAAGTGATTTAATGGAAGCAGGCTTCACTTTGTTCCAGTAAGGAGCCTAACAGATTGCTGGATGCCTTTGGTGGCTCTTAGAAGTTATATGACTATGTATCTAGGAGTATAAGATCACAATGCTCAGGCCTGTTTTGTTGCCCTAGCATTCAGGGCAAAATGGCCTTTTCCTCTCAGAGACTGGCCACCTTCTTTGCTAAAGTCCAGTTAAAAATACTGTGATGGTGACCATTTATACTATTCTAGTATATCAAAGAAGACTAGTTGACAATAAAAATTAAATCATATGATATCCTAATTTGTAGGCTCACAGAATCTATCCCTGTGTTGGCCTCTGGTGTAAGTCCCTTTCTTGCCACTGGGCTTTTCATTCTGAGTGTACATGTACACAAATGTACATCGATTGAGCCCCTTTGCTCCCCCCTCCTACCCTCATCCTTCATTTATCCTGTACATTTGTATTCCTATTGATTGTAGTTGGGTTTTCTGCAGTTTCGTGGTCTTCCTTGGCATATTCCCATTATGAATTGGTGTGTAGTATTTCAAAAATATCCAAGCAAGATTTTATCTTTAGTTATTTTCAAAAGTCTGTGTTACCAGACTTTTTAATGCTGTATCAGCTCTCGACTTCTGCCCAAGAAACAGCTTTCTTTTCGCTGAAGGTTCTAACTTCCTAGTACCTTTGACTTTTAGTCTTTGTGTTTTTTTAATTATTCTTAGAAATCTCTGTATCTTATTATGAAAAGAATAAGTATGAATTAATCAGTTTAGTTTAGTGACAGTATTGATTTTCGTATAGTAATAATCATCACTAGTAAATTGCTACTATTTTGATGAAGGAAATTTCTAGCTGGTTTTTAAAAATCTTTAGCTTTAGTTAAGACTTTTAGGTATTAGATTGGCACACTGTCTTTAATTTCCCAGTCTCTCTGTCAGGACGCACTAGAGAAGGTGTTCTTAAAAATTACTAGATCAGGGTCTGGGGGCCATGCTTTCAGGGGACATCTAGGCCAGCTGGCATAACAAAGCTTATTAAGAAAATGTTCTGCATCCTACTTTGGTGAGTGGCGTCTGGGTCTTAAAAGCTTGCAAGCGGCCATCTAAGATGCATCAGTTTGTCCGAACCACCTGGAGTAAAGAAGAATGAAGAACACCAAAGACACAAGGAAAGTATTAGCCCAAGAGACAGAAAGGGCCATATAAAGCAGAGACTTCATCAGCCTGAGACCAGAAGAACTAGATGGTGCCTGGCTACCACCAATGACCGCCTTGACAGGGAACACAACAGAGAGTCCCTGATGGAGCAGGAGAAAGGTAGGGTGCAGAACTCAAATTCTAGTAAGAAGACCAGACTTAGTGGTCTGACTGAGACTGGAGGAACCCTGGAAAGCATGGTCCCCAGATTCTCTATCAGCCCAGAACTAAAACAATTTTGGAGGCCAACTCTTCAGACAGGGATTGGACTGGACTGTGGGACATAAAGTGATACTCATGAGGAGTGTGCCTCTTAGCTCAAGTAGATACAAGACACTAACCGAGCAGCTCCTGTCCGGAGGTGAGATAGGAAGGCAGAGGGGGTTAGGAGCTGGTTGAATGGACATGGGGAATCAGGGGTGGAAAGGAGGAGTGTGCTGTCACAGTATGGGGAGAGCAATTAGGGTCACATAACAATGTATGTATAAATTTTTGTATGGGAGACTAACTTGAAATGTAAACTTCATTTGAACTAAAAAAAAAAAATTACTAAAACATGAGCAATTTTCCAGGCATCCTAAATCTCAAACATTTTAGGAAATTCCTGGGAGAGATTTTTTTTTCCTGTCAAATATAGTTGTAAGTACTTACTGTTTACCCAGCTCCAACAGTTATCTGCAGCACCCAGACGCAGCAAAACTTTTCTGCTTCTTGTCAACTATACTACATCTATGTATGCTTTCAAACATTTCCCCGTAAGGAACAAACCTCTCCCTTTTAAAAAATGATTTCTTCTTTTGATTTCCAGTGTTTTATTAGCTTCAGTGTTGTCTGATTTATTTTTTTTCTTCTACATTTCCCTGCCTTCTTTCCTGTTGAGTTACTCTGGAAATTTATGATGATGTAAGAGTTATTTGAGTGTCGAGGCTTGTCTTAAAGCATGTACCTTAGAGGCAGAATAGTTGCTTGGGCATCTTTATGCGTGGCATCAAGTAGCAGGTGAAATTACTGCATACGGCCCAATGCCCTGTATAACACCGTCGTGACTTGGGTAACTAACTTACCCCTGCCTTTCCTGATGCAGTCTTGAGCCTCTCTTGGTGCTCATGCTGGCAATCTAAGTACAGACTGTCCTTAAATGGACCCTTTCTTTCTCACTACACATCCTAGAGAGAATATTTTAGTGAAAAGACTTTGGGCTTCTCGTTAGCATTTAGGTTTCTGTTCGGTAAGAAATTTGAAGCTCTTGAAACTTCAGAGTTGAGGATTCAGAGGACCCATGTTGTCTCATTATGACAGCAAGGTTGACTTCACTTCTAGTGCTTTAAACGTCTATGTTATAACAAGGACCTTTTATCCTTAATCCTTGACTAAAGTAGATAACCAGTCTCCGTTACCAAATCTGTCATTCATAGTCTTAATGTTGATGATAGAATTAAATGATAAATACTTATTACCACTCTGTAAATATCCTCGTCTTCCAGATGAAGAAATAGAGACTTGGGTTAAATAACTTTTTAAAGCTGACTTAGTAAGTGCCAGAGCCAGGGTTCAAACTCCAGATTATGTGACTGCAAAGTCCCTGCTCTAGGCCTCTGCTTCCCAGCAGTGTATGTAGCTGCCCTAAGACCCTCTCAAAGCTTGTCATTAGGTGCCATCGAGTCAGTTCCAACTCATAGTGACCCTATGTGCAACAGAACGAAACACTGCCCAGCCCTGCACCATCCTCACAATCATTATTATACTTGAGTCCATTGTTGCTGCCACTGTGTCAGTCCATTTCGTCCCTTCCAACCTGAGGGGCTCATCTTCCAGCACTGTATCAGACAGTGTTCTGCTGCTATTCATAAAGTTTTCACTAGCCAATTTTTGTGTGTGTGTGTGCTTTAAGTGAAAGTTTACATTTCAAGTTAGTCTCACATGCAAAACTTCATACATACATTGTTATGTGACCCTAGTTGCTCTCCCTATACTGTGACAACACACTCCTCCTTTCCACCCCAGATTTCCTGTGTCCATTCAACCAGCTCCTGATCCTCTCTGCCTTCCCATCTCGCCTCTGGACAGGAGCTGCCCGTTTAGTCTCATGTATCTACTTGAGCTAAGAAGCACATTCTTCACGAGTATCATTTTATGTCCCATAGTCCCATCTAATCTTTGTCTGAAGAGTTGGCCTCGGGAATGGTTTTAGTTTTGGGCTAACAGAGTCTGGGGGCCATGTCTTCCAGGGTCCCTCCAGTCTCAGTCAAACCATTAAGTCTGGTCTTTTTACTAGAATTTGAGTTCTGCACCCCACTCTTCTCCTGCCCTGTCAGGGACTCTCTGTTTTGTTCCCTGTCAGGGCAGTCATTGGTGGTAGCTGGTCATCATCTAGTTCTTATGGTCTCAGGCTGATGAAGTCGCTGGTTTATGTGGCCCTTTCTTGGGCTAATACTTGGTCTTTGGTGTTATTCATTCTCCTTTGCTGCAGGTGGGTTGGGACCAATTGATGCATCTTAGATGGCCACTTGCTAGTTTTTAAGACCCTAGATGTCACTCACCAAAGTGGGATGTGCAGAACATTTTCTTAATAAACTTTGTTATGCCAGTTGATCACTGGCCAGTTTTTTCAGAAGTAGACCACCAGGTCCTTCCTAGTACATCTTAGTCTGGAAGCTCCACTGAAACCTGTCCACCATGGGTGACCCTGCTGGTATGTGAAATACCAGTGGCATAGCTTCCAGCCTCACAGCAACACGCAAGCCACCACAGTATGACAAATGGACAGACGCATGGTGGTCTCAAAGCTTAGACCCAGATAAAAAGCTGGAAGAAAGGGATTATGCTGGCTTTACCAGCCACTTCGCTCATTCAGGCACAAGTATCCTTGAACTGGCAATGACTCCTGGGAATATAGGAAAGAGAACAATAGATTAGGGAAAGTAAGTAACATACTGGATATTTAAGGTTAGAGAAAGGAGTCCTGGTGATGCAGTGGTTAAACGCTTGGCTGCGAACCGAAAG